GGGATAAATATGGGAGCATGAGAGACAGAGAGTTGTGCTGGGAGCTGGACGGAGACGGTCGGAGCAGAAGAAGAAGAATAGGTTAGCAGTAGAGACGGAGAAGACGAAGATATGAGAGATATAATAGGGTAGCAGTGGAGCAGGAGAAGAATAGATGAGACGAAGGATAGGCTAGCAGTGGAACGGAAACAGAGAGAGAGAGACAGTCGGAGTGAGATGGAGAAGCCGAGAGAGAGCTACAGTTGGAATGAGACGGAGACGAGAGGGAGAGACAGTCGGAGTGAGACAGAGAAGCCGAGGGAGAGCGAGACGGTCGAAGCCGAGACGGGCGAAGCAGAGAGGAGAGTCGGGGGAGAAAGAGACGGAGAGAGAGGGAGGGAATGGAGCGAGCGAGGCCAGCGAAGCGCGGCGAGCGAGCAGAGAGCACGCTGAGGCCGTGGTTGTGGACTGTGCTGAGTTTGATGAAAATAAAGTGATGACGGAAAAAGAAGTTGTCCGCGTAAAGTTTAACACTACAAATACAGCGTGCTGATCCTCAAAGGTGCATTAACAATTGTTTGCATTTTCACTCTTCATTGGATCTTTACCTAACATTACATACGTAGAAAACTAATCTTAACAAACCGAGTTAGTAAATTGAAAAGTTCAAATGTGTGTGTGTAAGTGGATGGGTGTGTGTAATCTGCCACCTAAGCCGTGGCAGATCACTGTTTTAATTCAGTGGGCTCACATGACATTGATTTCTCCAAGACAGAGGTTCTTTGCAAGCCATCTGGCTACCATGAGAGGTTCGTTCATGAGGCTATTCACATATACAAACACAGAGACAATTTCAACCGAGAAGATGGATTCTGGCTTAGCAATCATTGGAAGGATTTGATAAACCATTTCGGGTCTTAATTGATTGTGTTCACGCTTACGGTGACTTTCAGACCGCATTCCATTTCCTGCTCCCCCCTCCTCTTTTCCGAACATAGATGGACTCGTCCATCTGGCCAACTGCCAAATCGTTGTCCGTGGTGCTGACGTCAGGAAAACCGCCACTTTTTAAAAATGTTCTTGCTGTGGATTTCGCACCTGATGATGATTGCTTGCTTTTTTAACATGTAGGCTTTCGCGACCAATATTATTCATGCTTGTGTTGCAGTCGAAACGTCGAGAGAATTTTTATTGTTTTATATTCATACTAGCATAAGTACCCGGCGTTGCCCGGGTGAAAAATATATTTCTTAATAACCTTACATATATACACAGATGGGCCGCTACCCCTGCCCCCCCCCCAGCCACGATCTTCTCGGCCGCTGTGCAGTAATATGTACGGCCTATAGTGTGGTGGGGTGTCGAGGCCTAGTACCGTGCCTCCTGCCTCGCCTAAATTGCCCACCCGGCTGAGGCTGGGTACGGGTGCCATTCCCCCCCCCCCCCCGCGCTACAATAATACTGTCTAATCGCTATAATTTTATTATCTACCGACCCTATAATAGTAATTGCACACATTGGGGTGGGGGGGGAGTGAAGAGGACGTGAAACTTTGATGAATTTACCTCAGAGTCGCGTGGTGGGTGTCGAGGCCTAGTACCGTGCAGAACCTCAATACAACAGGAGGTGTTAAGATGTTCAAACACTAAATAGAAACCTTTTGCAAGAAATCAAGTCCGTATTAACTGCACACAGTATTTGTGGTGAACATGCAAACAAACATGCTCTGATAATAGTGTTACTTTGGCCTACACCAAAGACAGCCTTCTTTATGGCCTCGTCTCACCAGTGTCAGACCAGAGAATGCCAAAAGTGAACAGTACAAAGACAATGGACGTAGCAGAGTATTTACAGCTTGGGGTGAACAGCTATTTCATGAGATACCTTTTTTGCCAGTATAACATTATGAATAGTAAGAATAGGTTTTACCCTTTCGGGCAATAAAACATTAGTTGTGTTAAGATTTACCATTGCCTGAACGGGTAAAGCCTATTCGTAATTTTCATACAAGTACAAATATCCCATCGAGTATCATGGGTAAGGGCATTCTCACAGCACGTGGGTCGTGTGGGTTATTCCTTACAATACTTCACCGCCCTGGTCACTGTGGGGTTGGTGAAGGCGGGAAGCGTAATAGAAGTACAATACAGCAATGAATTTTGATAGTGCCCTCTGCTGCCTGCAACATCGCCCCACAGCCACAACCGGATTAAGGTTTTTTAAGGCCTTAGGCACTTCTGTATTTTAGGCCTTCAGTGATAACTTTCTACAGTTGGTTCTGCTGCTGTCCATGTTACTGCTACCGCCACTGTCATTCTGCTTTTTTCACGCAGTACTTTGTCCAGCCACTGGACAGACGTCTTTACCGCTGATACGTTGATTATTTAGTCTGTGCTCTCATTCGATGGACACGCGCTTTGTGCTGCAGATAAGCAGATTTAATTTGAAATTATTGAAGAAAATAAATGCCAAAAAATATAAGCAAAAAATAATTCAACTATGATTATCATATCGGATGACGCAGCTTTAAACGGATGCCGTTTATTTTCATCAATTACATATTCAATATTCTGACAGCATCAGCTTATTGTGGAGATGGAAAAACGGCGAAAAGCACGTGCCAGATTGAATGATCGATTCAGTTTCCTTCTAGATCACTGTCCACAGAATAAATTGTTGTGTGGGCCACTGCATTATTTGCTGCATATCCAGCAGATCTTGAAAAATAATGCGCTGGTCCATTCCTGTTGTTCCTGCATTTGTATGCAGAGAAAAACAGTGGCATATATGCTCAAAGCCCAAATATCTGGCAAACTGATCAGCAACTGTCCGAATGTTTACATTGCTCTTAGGATTGTATCTTGTCATCTTGAAAGAACAAATTGTGAAGGGTAGCGTTATTTTTCGAAGCTAAAGCTGATTTAAAAAAACTGTCCCCGATAAGAAAACAACGCTTGTCTTCCCTCGCACTACTCTCTATTGAGAATGAGATTATGCGAAAAAAAAATTTGAATATGTTATTGCTAATTCTGCAATGAAATAATCTCAAAGTTCATCTCCGGTGTTAATTCCTCTCACCTTATGAAAACAACGATTGACATTGACATGACTCTGCCTCTTTGTATATACACTGTGAGTTATCCTTGCTATATGCATATATTTTTTCAAGAAGATACATACATATGTAGTGCGCAAATTAGACGCAGACTTGTACGTGGAGGCAACACTTTTATTTTACACAGCGGGTAACTCTTAGCATGATAATAACATAGGGTGGTGACCACCACGGTTAACGACACTAATACTCGTGGGCTATTCTATAACCGGACCCAGACAGCCAATGAGCTGCCTGGTCCACACGTGGAGAACGAGGACCGAGGATCGAGGACAGCGACTTCATTCCCAGGGCTCAACCCCGGTCCCTCCAGCGACCCCGCGTATATCTCCCCTGGCCTGGCTGGCTCCGCCCCTGGACACGCTTCTTTTCCAGAACCCTCGTGGAACCACGTGATCCTCTTTACCCCCGACTAGGGCCCCCATGCCGCCTCTTGTTCGGTCACGTGTCCCCCCGGGTTCACCTCCCGGTCACGTCCTGGTGCGACCCCTTTTACAGCGACACCCATGCTCCGCCCCTACAGTACCACTTCACATGCAGCACTGCCTCTGCACTGTGGTGGCCCCCTTGAGGCCACCAAACATACATACACACAAAAAACATGGTCACACTCTTTTTTCATAGGCACTAGGCACAGTGCCTATTGTGGCCTATTGATAATATGGCCCTGGTGGGTGGGTGAGTGGGTGAGTAGGCCCTAGGCACAGTTGTCTACGTTGCCTATTGGAAAATACGGTCCTGCACGCAGCAGCATAAACCATCACGCGAACTCATCCTCGCAGCAGCGGAAGCTTTTGGCTGGCTATTGAACAAAGAAAGCCACCGCATCAACCGGTGCTTTCAGACGTGTTTCTGCGGCCGTCTGGACCACTCTTCCTTCCGGTATTAGGAAGCAACTGGGAGCTATGTACTTTTAAATCCTCTATATTGAAAAATAATTTCTTTTGAACTGCTTTTGTGTTTAGTTTGTCCTATTAATACTTTGGTATTTGCATTGCCTTTAAACTGTTCGCCTCATGGCATTCTATGGTCCAACACTGGTGAGACAGGGTCATAAAGAAAGCTGTATCTGGTGTCGGTCAATCAGTATTTAAAAAATACAATGCATATATATCATCATAGCGTATTCTTATTTTTCTATTTTGATACTGGCAAAAAAAGATCCCTTCGAATCAACATACGGTATGTACGTACGTACTGCCTACAGCACCGGGTTGCGCATGATGGTTGCCCATCCAAACGACTCGCCGGGCTCACCGCTGCTTAGTTTCCGAGACGATATCGGGTCAAATGGCGGCCGATTGGTGCTCGAGAGCATCGCGTTACTGCTGACACGAGAGCCAAGTCGCCGTGGCGGCGGCGCCAGCAGTGGTGGTGGTGATGGTGTGGTGTGTAACGGCACGACCAAGGTGGCGCCACGGTGTCGAGATGTTAATTACTTCGCCTGGTATTTAGGATGTTGTGGGTTCGAACCCGACCCTGCTGTATATTTGGAGTTTGCGTGCCTTTCTCTCTCCATGATCGCGTGGCTTATTCTCTGGTTTTCCCTCCACATTTAAAGTATTTGGCTGCTACAAATTTCCACGTGATAATCCACTTCATTGAGCTATCACTTGTGGGCAGGTCGCTTCTGAAAAATAGCACATAGCTCAGTGGTCGTTTTTAGTTTAGACCTGGAGTTCAGAAAGATCCGGGTGAGACCCCCCATCCCCGGCCACTCTGTGTGGTGGAATATACCCGCGCTAGCGCCTGTGCAGTGGAACGAACCCGCACTAATGCCTGTTGATTCCAGCTACTTTGTCCTGAAGTTGACACCCAGTGAGTGCTGCTGTCCTATCTGCTGCGAGTACGAATTACTTGAGTTACTTGATCGCACTGACGGAACATTTCCTTCGCCTTTTTGCAGACAATCACAAGCTTGGAAGTATATTACACACTTCGTCTGTGCCTGAAATAGCTTTGCACACCAACAACATGATCAAGCATGGCAAAGGTAAGCCGACAGATTGCGTGTAGGCCACCTCGTGCCGTTGAAAGTTCTCCGTATGACGCGCGTTTGCTGAGTAGCAGTCTGTAAAACTATCAAGGCCGTAGCCATGGAGTCAACATTGGGGGGGACCAAATCTTCCAGAGGGTCTGGGGGTCCCCCCCCCAGAAAAAAATGTAAATTAAAAAACGATTGTCCTGCCTAAAATATTTTTAAAAATCACTAACACATCGGATGGATTTTTTTTTTACAATAATGTCTAATAGTGTATTTTATTACATTGCTCTGTTTTTTTACCTTTTCTTGTTTCATTGTATGTAATGGCAGAGATTAGGGATTAATAAAGCACAACCATAACCACAATCATATAAACATAAATATTTTAATAGCAATATATTGGGGGGGGGGGACATTTTGAGCATATTTGAATATTGGGGGGGGGGGGGGTGTGTCCCCCCCAATATATTATAATTATGGCCTTGAAAACTATAAACTTTGTTTTACCAGGTAAGGCCCACTGAGCTATATAGCATATTTTTCAGAAGCAACCTGGCTATCACAAATGATGAGTGCTCAACTAAGTGGTCTTATTATGTGGAGAACATGCAAACTCCAAATATAAAGATGTCAGTGTCGGGATTGAACCCACAACCTCCGTTATACATGGTGAGGTAGTTAACATCTCGCCACCATGGCGCCCCTCCCCGAAGGCAGTCCCAAGATCAAGGTGATGAAACGGAGGAGAGGCCGAAACAGGAGTGGTTTGGGCAGCGAGTTTTGAAAAAAAAACTTAACTCGATAACGAAATGCAACGTACTGCTGTGGTGGTGCTGAGCAGCAATAGCGGTTGTGGCTGCGCTGCTGCACGTGGCTGCCTAAAGCCCAGCAGCAGCAGCAGCAGCGAGGTGTTGGCGGATCCCCAAAATGTTACAAGAACTCCCTTCACCATGGGGCCCCTTCACCATGGGGCGTCCAAGAAAAGCCATACACCTATCTGGCCAGGTGTATGGTGGTACACTGTAAAAAATGTGACACATTGTTACTTAAAAAAATTATGGCAACAAAGTGACACGTAATATAATTGTGTAGATTTTAAGCACTACAACTTTGAATAAAAAGTGTTGAATACATTAACTAAAAAATAATAATAAAAAATAAGTACATGGTAATAAAAGCAACAGTTAAAATGTGTTGGATTTAGTAATATGATTCCAAATGATGAGTTATATAGCCTAAAAAAAATTGTGTAAATCCAAATAGGTTTTACAAGGAAAAGTGATTTATATTTACTTAATATCTGAGCAATGGTAATTTAGATTTACTAAATATCTGGTGAAATTGGATTAATATTTATTAATGATCTGGGTGAAATTGATTTACATTTACTAATTGTCTGGGTGAAATTGATATAAGCTTACTAAATATCTGGATCAAAATGATTTGGATTTACTAAATAAAATACTTATATTGAATGTCTGTTGCCATAACTTTTCTATTTCTAATCCACCCAATATCATGCCTTCGTGGTGCCACAATTCACTTACGTTAAGTCAACCGATCACCATGAAAAAGATAAGAACCATGAAAAGGAACAGCAGGTTAACATTTATTCGTGCAATTTTGTCTCAACATGTTTATCCAACATATTACAAGTACAAAACAAAGACAGAAATCATGTATGTGTACAATAGGGATACAATACTGGAGGTATTTATAATTTGTGGGCATTACAGGCACAGATTACTTTTTTGGATGTGATTCAAGGTTGTCGTGATTTTTTGTTTTATTTTATTTTCATTAATTTTGATGTTTTTACCTACGTGACTTTACCGAAAAAAAACCTAAGAATATGAATATCAAGGTTTAGTCTTTTTAGCACATTTAAATTACGACAATATTTAAAAAAAATCTGTAAAAAAACTTTCATATTATTTCTTTTTTATATGCGCAAATTGAAATCCTAAGGGCCAATATGTTTTTCAAACAGCTAAAAGAGATTAAAACATCACGTGAATTGACTTGCATTCCCTGTACTTATACTAGTAGCCATAATCCACAATCCGGGTGGACCTATCTTTTTTAACATGCATAATTACAGTACAAGCACGGCTTTCTAACAAGTAAACTAGCACAGCCTACAGATGTTCTATGCATCTTACATCTATTCCTTTAGAACAAACACTTGCAATGGCCTAGGTCAGCGTCACATCAGAAGAAAGCACAATGTTAGAACACCCAAGAAACATTAAACAAAAATAAAGATAGCTTTCAATAACAAATCAGTGCATTCTCTGATAGCCTATCAGATGTATAGGCCTATAACGCAGAACTTTGACAGTCAGACTCAGTTATTAACTCGTTAAGCTCAGTCAAACTGAAGTACTTCTTCTTGGTGAAAATCTGAAAACACAATGCTAGTTCCCTTGGGACTATGCCTTCCAAAAGGTCATGTAGTACATCTGGTGGGTACCCAGACTCAAAATGAAAGTGATTTAATTTATCAGTCAATGGACACGACCGCTTTACGCCAAAGCAATGAGTAACATTTGGATTTTCTCTCAGTTTGCACATGCAAACTATGTTCCTTCTTTGTCCGAGGTGGAAACACTCCGGTCCGCACTTCGTGTGTTTGGTACTCTGAAGAATGTCCAAGACAACATCTACAGATGTACGGCCCTGTGAAACATTCAACTAGTCCACTGATAGAATGTGCATCGAGATTGTCAGCTACAACACAATGTACTGTCCCTTTAATGTTTTTTCCAACACTGGACATAAAAATCCCTTCCTGTTCTAGAATGACAAGATCCTTCAAGAGTGGTTCCAAAACTGCTCTGTATTCAAACTGATTGACATCAACATCTTTGCAAAGTAAAGCTAGGTGTATTGACGTTAATGCAGATTGCAACTTTGTTGGAACATTTGCCAAAACCCAATAAACAGCTGTTATTTTGTGTTTTTTTTCTCGAAGTTCCTGGTGGGTTACACACTTCAAAGTCGTCAACGTAAAGGATTATAGACAGTCTTGTTTCTTCCCCAGCATAAAATACATTTTGCTTGAAGGATTTTCCATCAAAAATTGACTTAATATATCCAGTACTATTTGATTTTCTGGATAAAATTATTTCTGCAATGTCTTCATTCTTCAAGACTTCCTGCAAAGTCTGGAGAATAGGCACATATTGAAAGGTCTTGTTCTTTTCAGTATCAACAATATATTCAATGCTATCAACACACTGGAAATGCACCTTAAAATACTTTCTTCTCTTAAAAGCCGAACCAAGTGGACCACCTGCTCCAAGTGCTGTACTAATGGGATGGAAGTTGCACAACTGCTGACAATTCAGTTACGATGGCCTGGTCAACAATGCATTTATTCACCTTCAATGTTGAATCTAGTATGTTCCTAACAACTGCAACTGATACTGAAGATGAAATGAACTGAAGGTCTTCAACCAAGGCATCAATGCACTTCACTGATGCATTATAGATGGTTTCTAGCTTCAGCAGAAGTAAGCCAATTCTTTGAAGAACTAAGTATGATGCACTTTCCTGATCACAATCTAAACTAGTGCCCTCACCATCATTGGCCTCTGGTAAATCAGAATGGTCAACAGTCTGATTATGGCGACTCTCATACACATCTTTCTTAAAATCACTCAAAGAATAGGATTTGTGTCTTTTGCTTTTGTGTTTTAGAAATGTATTGTATATATTTGTCTGAAAGCTGCATCCTGCAAATACACAAAAGACAGTTTCGTGGCTCTTCAGATGATTTCCAATATGCTGAAAGTAGTCCTTCTCTATAGAACAACAAGCATTGCAAACTAAACACTTAAAAGCAGAGATGTTTCCTGACCGTAGACTTTCTTCATCTCAATGGTATCTGGACAAATGTGTGCGAAGGGCACTCTGCATTTTAAATGTGCAAGGGCAACTGTCATATAGGCATGGCTGGGATTGGCCACGACCAAATAGTGCGTGTTGTCTGTAATGCTTTAGTAGATTTCCTTTTGTGGCAGACAAAGACTTGCAGATCTTACACTTCCATTCCATAAGCAAAAACCTGAGGCAGAAAAAGGTCCATGTATCAGATGCAAGGCCACCAGGTCTCTAATCACATGAGGACAATAGAATCGCATTTACAAGATAATTCTTTATTATTTTTAATATTTAAATTTTCATGCTCAAATTTAGCACATCAACTTCTTGTCACTCACATCATCTAGCTAGCTAGCAACTACACAACAAGCTAGCCACAACGTAAGGGTGACGCTAACTGACTGGTGGCAAGCTAGCTAACGTTAGCATACTGTACGTACATCAACACCAAGATATAATATACTGGAGGTGTAACGGCAGGTACAGGACTTTTGGTTCGGTACACGCTGTGATCCGAATGAATATAGTCTAGTTTTAATCACGCACGTTACTTTTTCGTGTGCGGAACAAAAATTATAGTCTCGTGCTTTTAGTCGAATCAGACTGACTTCCAAAGACCTAACGTTGTGCTAGTTAATTCTGATATACGTTACAGCCAGTTAAATTGGCATGCTGGTAACATGCAGTAACATAAAACAATGTTCAACTGCTACCACACCTTTGTTAAAAAATTGTTCGCTAAAATAATAAAACATGTCTTACCTTTGGGAGAACGGCGGTCCCTGAAACGTGTCTGTTGAAGAAGATGGTTGACATGCACGTGGCGCGAAAAATGCCTCGAGTTTGGGCGGGAGTGTAACGTTATTAAATTCAAAAACCTCCCGGTTAGTAAAATTAATCAATTTTTGGCATTTTTGACTTTCCTGATAAAATACAATTAAATTTTACTCAGTTATTGATGGCTGATTTTATTTGAACAAAACTGAGTAAAATACAATTAATAACTAATAGAAAGGTGTTGAATTCAGCTCAATGTGATTCTAAACTACACATAGTCATTATTTTTATGTATAGGCTACTCCTATATATTTACTAAACATTAATTAACCCCAGTCTCGGTTTTTACAGTGTACAGCAGCAAGGTAGATTCCACCGCCATCGCACGCACGGGTTGTCTCCGGGTACTTCCGTTCTTTTCCCACATATAAACGCTCATTATCCACGATAAAGGTATTGTTGGGTTAGATCGCGTAATTATAAATGTGTCGTTAAAACCGCCAGTACCTGACACACCCATTTGGTAAGGTTTGTCACGTTAACAAAACGTGCCAATTCGTTACTAGTTCAGCGGTTGTGTGTTGCAGAGTAAATCCGCTACAACATTTACAATTCGAGTACCGTGACGTTTCGCCGGTAATTACAGCCAGCATCATCAGGTGACAGCCAGAGTTGTGGAGAAATCCTCCTCCTGTTTCGGTCTTAAATTGAGGAGGGGTAAGTGTGATGTCGTCACTTGTGAGCCAATCAGGTGCAAAGACCAGAGGGAGGGAGGGGTTAATGCATTCATATAAATTACAATGGATATCTATTATTGGTTGGGTTATTCACAGGAAATAAAAATAGATAATGTACATGCATAATGTGCATCCCCAATACACATACACTATGCATGCACACCATGCATGCACATCCTGCGATTTTTGGGTGAAAAAATAGCAATTCCTGTTATTGGTATCGCTCGTTAATTAGCCGATAACACCCTTAATATATATGGACGTAAAGAATATATTAACTCCACCTGTTCTGTCCGTATGGGATCGAGCGTTGGCCCCCCTGCACTCGTGGGTTTATTCCACATGCTCTGGTTTTCTCCCCCATGTAAAACTACTAATTCATTGGCTGACAACACCTTAACATCTCGCTACGGTTGCTAAGATATGTTAACTACCCACGCCCGGTAAACAGGAGGTCGTGGGTTCGATCCCGATACCTGACAACTGTTGTAAAGATGGAGTTTGCGTGTCTCTCCCTATGGTCGCGTGAATTTTCCTCCGGGTCCTCCAGTTTTTCCCTCCACATTTAGAAACAACGTGTGTCTAGAGTATGTGGCTGTTATACATTCCCACGTGATGATGATAAGTCACACCATTGAGCTATAATTTGTGATGGCCAGGTAGCTTTTGAAAAATAACTATACAGCTCAGTGGGCCTTACCTGGTAAAATTAAAACAAATAAATAAAGCACTCATCATGTTTGTCTGTCGCTCAATATCTACCCATTGCTAACTGTTCATATGCCAATTTAAAAAAAGTTCATCTGGAAATAGTTTTTTTGTTTTCCCCTCGCCCCATGGTGTACAGTGCAGCCTACAACTATTATCCACGAAACGTCACCTATGATTTTATCTTAAGGCCACAGAGTGTTTTATATATATATACAAAACCAATTGTTTAGTTTAAAATAGTTTAGACTTTAGAAAAGCGAGTGGGCTCCCGGGCAAGATGCGTCCTTGCTGGGAGGGACGACAGCCATTGGTCGAGATGAATGACGGGGAGGGGCACCCCAACAGAGGCATCGCGAGAGCGCCGCTACCTTGGAGACGGAGCGTGATAAAGCGAGTGCACGTGCGAGCGAATGCGAGTGAGTGCTTGCGTGCGGGCGTGAGTGGGGAGTGGTGGCACGGTGGACTAGCGCGCCGCGCTACTGACTCAGCGAGCCGAGTTTGATTCCTGATCACAACCAATTACCTTAACCGTTCCTGGGTCTCCCCTAGGACGACTCGGCCTCAAGTAAGCATCTGGTGCGGTTTGCAAACATCGTCACTCGGGAGACAAAGGCGGCTTGCCTGGTACTGGCCACCGACCCACCTCGTGTGCTAACCTTCATAGATGCTGCTCATGAACAGCACTCGCCTCGACAGTCTGTGAAGGCTATCCGGGGGGGGGATCTTTGTGTGTTTTGTAACCGTGCTCTCTGGTGTCTGTTTCTCGTTGAGCAGCGACGAATCACCCCGAAAAATGTTACAAAGTGATCCATAACTTCAGCTCCACCTCCAGCTCCAATCAGCTCAGCCCCTCCAAGTCAGCTAATGATATTGGTGAGTGTTTTGGTTGATCATTGTATGTGTAGTGCTCAACTTTACGCAGACATTTTCTTCTTTTTGCGTCGTCACTTTTTATTACAAAACTCTTCACATTCCACAACTGAGACTTCAGCACATTCTCCGCTCGCTCGCCGCGCTCCGCTGGCCTCACTCGCTCCGTTTCCTCCCTCTCTCTCTCTGTCTCTCTCTCCCCGACACTCTTCTTTGCTTCGCCTGTCTTCGCTTTGACTGTCTCACTCTCTCTCGGCTTCTCCGTCTCACTCCGACTGTCTCTCTCCCTCTCGTCTCCGTCTCACTCCAACTGTCGCTCTCTCTCGGCTTCTCCGTCTCACCCCAACTGTCTCTCTCCCTCTCGTCTCCATCTCACTCTAACTGTCACTCTCTCTCGGCTTCTCCGTCTCACTCAGACTGTCTCTCGCTCTCGTCTCCGTCTCACTCCAACTCTCGCTCTTTCTCGACTTCTCCGTCTCACTCAGACTATCTCTCTCCCTCTCTCGTATCTTCTCTGTTCCTGTTCCACTGCTAGCTTATCCTATCTCTCATATCTTCTTCTTCTCCGACTCCACTGCTAACCTATTTTTCTTCTTCTTCTCCCCCACTGTCTCCGTCCAGCTCCCAGCAACAACTCCTCGTCTATCTCTTGCACTCCCGTATTTATCCCCGTTCTCATTAATTACCCATTATTTAACCGGCGTTCCCACCGAGGTCCCGCGCCCACGGCGCCCGTCGCCACCTGCTCCCATCTCCAGACTTGCTGGCGCCACCTTGTCCCTGACAACAACAACCGGCCAATCACTGCCCTGCATCCCATAACCACCTAACGAGCCGTCTCTCTCCGGCCATTATCCTTCAGCAACACCTGCTTGCCCTGATGCGACCCCACTGTTCATCAACCCATACGTGTTTCCAATTTCCCCTCTTGGCGCGTGTTAATCCACTACATCACCCCCCCCCCCCCCCCCCCCCCCGTGATAAAGAATTAGCCATCCCGGCTACGCACAAGCAACCGAACGCGCGACCAGTAGACGGGTGAATCTTCAATGGAAAGTCCTTCCTCGAGAGCAGGTTTCAGCAGCTGGTCCATCACCCCTGAATGGGTAGACAGGGGGCAAGTGTGGGGAACGTTCCCTCGTCGACACGGGGCTGCGTTCCGCCCTTGATGCGTGCCCACTCTCGTGACAGCGATCAGCAGCTGGCGTGATCGCATTCCGCTCCCATGTGCCCCGGGGCGGCTCCCGAGGTTGCGGCTGGCCAACCGGCACATTGCCAGAGAGCCTGCCAGAAAGCCTCTCCTGAGTCAATAGCGGCGATCTTGCAGGCACACCGGGGGCAGACTGCTGAGGTGCGTTCACATGCAGCCGTACCACAGGTTCGTTGGACACATCCAATACAGGCCGTTCCGGGATGGGAGATGACGCATCATATGGAGGCACAAATTTCTTAAGATGCGATGGGTGAACATGCCATAGGCGCCGGCTGCAGCAAATTCATACACTCTGGTCCCGACGAATTTCCACAATCTCAACGGGACCCTGACAGGGTCGATGGAACTTTGGAGATGTGCCCACTGGCACCATAGGGCAGTGCAGCCGAGCCCTGTCCCCCACACGCCAGGGCTCTTGCGGAGACTGTGTGCGTGCAGGCGTTCATTGGCAGCCTTTTGTCTCGCAGTGTTACCCAACGAGACCTCTCTAGCCTCCTTCAGACGGTCTAATGCCACCTGCATGGGGGCAGGTACCACCGACGACTTCCCCCGCACTCACACGCCCAACCTGACCAGGGCTGGGGCCTCTGGTTTCTAACCGTACATTAAATAGAATGGTGACTACCCCGTTGAGGTGTGCGGGGCCAACCTGTAAGCGGCTAGGGCCGCCGGAACGTATAGGTCCCAATCATTCTGCGCTGAATTAACCTGTTGGCACAACATAGACGTTAGCATCCTATATAGGCGCTCGACCATCCTATCGGTTTGCTGGTGGTGCGGGGACGTCCCAATCTCTTTTGTTCCCAGTGAGTCACACACTTCCTTAAGTAGACGGGAGGAAAAATGTTTGCCCTGATTGGTGAGCAGGTGCTCTGGGGCGCCTTTATCAAGGACGTATCCCTGCAGGAAAGCCTCGGCGATCGACCCCGCAGATTGGTCCACCAGTGGCCATGCCATAGGCCACTGAGTGAGGTACTCGACTCCTACTAGTAAATATTTGTGACCCCGCGGGGTGACGGGGAATGGGCCCAAAATATCCAGGGCAACAATTTCGTTAACATGGGAGACTTGTATCGATTGTAACGGTACCCGATATGGTTGCGCAGGTGCCCTCCGCCGCGTGCACTCGTGGTAGGACTTAATGAATACCTGAACGTCGTTTTGCATGCCCAGCCAATAAAAATATTTGCACAAGGTCAGCGCGGTTTTCTTCTCCCCCAAATGCATCAGCTTCTCGTGCGTGTCACGAATGAGCTTGCCCCTCAAACACAATGGAATAACGATACAGAATTTTTGCAGTACGACATCCCACCGCACGAGGAGATCGTCGACAAGTCGAAGGAAGGGGCGATCCTCCGACCCTCTAGAGCGGGAGGCCCGAAGCCTCATTCTGGACAAGGAGGAATCGTCCACCTGTAGGCGCGTCCAACGAGCCAGTGACAACCCCAGTAAGCCGGACCCCTCGGCAGGAACCGCATCAGCTCGGACTGAATCGGCTGCGGCGGCCATAGCTGGAACGCCCTGCAGTGGTGGACCACAATGCAACGAACCCTCAGTAAAACTGCATGAGCCTGACAGCTGAGGCAATCGCGATAAAGCATCCGCGTTGACATGACGCGTCCCCTTCTTGTGCTGGACCGTAAAGGAGTATCCCTGCAGGATTTCGAGCCAACGGGCCATCTGGCCCGAGAGCTGGTCAACCCGCAAGGAGTATAGCAGCACCGCATAGTCAGTGCGGACCAAGAAATCCCTGCCTTACAAGTACGGTCGGTACAGCTGAACGAAGTGTACAATGGCCAACAGCTCCCTGCATGTCACACAATATTTCTGCTCTGCCGGGGACAACATGCGGCTGCCGTACGCCACAACCCTTTCAACCCCGTCGATATTTTGCGACAAGACAGCGCCTATGCCAGTGTCACTGGCGTCTGTGTCGAGAATAAACATCTTGGTGAAATCCGGATATCCGAGCGGCGGCGCATCTGATAAAGCGTCCCAAAGCGTCTCAAATGAATGCTGTTGCTTGTCACCCTAGAGGAACTTCTTACCATTGGCGGTCAATGTATGCAGTGACCTCGCAATTGTGGCAAAATCTTTGACAAATCGGTGGTACTACGACGCAAAACCCACGAAGCTACGCACCTCCGACACCATTTTCGGCACTGGCCACGTACGTACACTGCTCGTTTTGTCCAGATCAGTGGCAACTCCTGATCCGCTAATAACGTGGCCCAAATATTTAACAGACGTCCTTAGCAAATGGCACTTTTGGGGCTTAAATTTCAAATTGGCGTCCTGCACCCGGCCAAACACAGCACGCAATCGCTGCAAATGCCCGTCAAAATATTTACTGAAAACAATGACGTCGTCAAGATATATCAAACACGACTCCCACTGCAATCCAGACAATACGAGTTCCATTAGCCGCTGGAAGGTGGCCGGCGTGGAGTGTAGCCCCATCGGGAGCACATTAAAATGGAACAATTCCTATGGTGGTCGGAAAGCAGTTTTCAGCTTAGATTCTTCGTCCAGGGGCAATTGCCAAAAGCCCAACAAGAGGTCGAGGGTCGAGAAATATTTCCCGCCGGACAGGGCGTCCAATGAGTTATCAATGCGCGTAAGCGGGCACGCATCTGCAACCGAAATTTTATTGAGTTTGCAATACCATCATTGGAACCTCATGTGCCAGTAGAAAATATGATAATTGGTGTTTTACCCTTTTATCTAGCAACAAAACTGACACCTTTTTTACAAGGAGTCATGTTTGCATAGACCACAATACCTGCTGTCGTAATGCAAACAAAAAACATAACTCTGATAATGTATGCACTGTCCTTGAAGTTGATTGCTCCACACCCGAGACAGCTTTCCTTAGAGCCTAGTCTCACATGGTGTTGGACCAAATGACGCCAAAAGGCACACAACTCAAAGACAATGCACCATCAGAGTGTAATATCGTTCACGACTCTTGACACCGGAGTTGGAGGCACACGGGTTTATTTGACACAGCACGTTCGTGGCATACAGCACTGGAGGGGGTATCGGCCCCCTCACCTGACTAGCTAAGGATACACGTCCTAGCTACTCCTAGCCTGCCTCTTAGTCCTCCACTAATGGGCTAGGGGAGGCTATCTGGCCCAACACTGGTAAGTCGGGCCCGGTACCCGGAGTCCCAGACCAGCTCTTACAAGAGCACCGGCTCTGGCTTTCGGGACCACGCCGCTGGCTCAGTCCTGTTCGGCCCTGATAAGGACATCGAACTAGGGGAGTCCAGGGCTCTATCTAAGACGTCTTCAGTCTTCTCTGGTTAGCTTTTAACATAACTCCCGAGCCCTTTGATACATCCCCTTTTATACCCAACCCCTCCCTGAGGGGTGGGGCCCCGGGGTTCATAACGTTCGAACCAGCCCCCCCCAGGGTGCCTGGCTCGGACGTCGTAGAGGGCACCTCCCCGTGCACTTACGTAGCCCCGCCCACTGTGTTTGTTTGCCATAGGCTGCCATGCATAACGGGCTCTCTCTCTAACACCCCTCCATCACCCCCCCCCCGCATAGCTTGCAGCCGTCCCGGCTGCCAACATACAAAAAAAAATGACAATAAAAATGCATTTACCCCCTGACCGCGCGTGTGCCTCACTATTTTTCAACAATAAAAACAGCAACAAGAACACAACAAAATGCAACAGCAAGAAGAGAAAACAACCCGACGCACCCCCCCTGAATAAATACGAATTCCGTAAAAAAAAAACAGCCTATATACAATTTGCAGGGAACCCACCACACACACAACACCAGGTGAACCCAACGTATGTACATTCAATGGGCAGGGAACACACCACCCACACAACACCTGGTGAACCCAACGTATGTACATTCAATGGGCAGGGAACACACCATCCACACAACACACAATGAACACAACCTGTTGATTCCAGCTACTTTGTCCTGAAGTTGACACCCAGTGAGTGCTGCTGTCCTATCTGCTGCGAGTACGAATTACTTGAGTTACTTGATCGCACTGACGGAACATTTCCTTCGCCTTTTTGCAGACAATCACAAGCTTGGAAGTATATTACACACTTCGTCTGTGCCTGAAATAGCTTTGCACACCAACAACATGATCAAGCATGGCAAAGGTAAGCCGACAGATTGCGTGTAGGCCTCCTCGTGCCGTTGAAAGTTCTCCGTATGACGCGCGTTTGCTGAGTAGCAGTCTGTAAAACTATCAAGGCCGTAGCCATGGAGTCAACATTGGGGGGGACCAAATCTTCCAGAGGGTCTGGGGGTCCCCCCCCCCCAGAAAAAAATGTAAATTAAAAAACGATTGTCCTGCCTAAAATATTTTAAAAAATCACTAACACATCGGATGGATTTTTTTTTTACAATAATGTCTAATAGTGTATTTTATTACATTGCTCTGTTTTTTTACCTTTTCTTGTTTCATTGTATGTAATGGCAGAGATTAGGGATTAATAAAGCACAACCATAACCACAATCATATAAACATAAATATTTTAATAGCAATATATTGGGGGGAGGGGACATTTTGAGCATATTTGAATATTGGGGGGGGGGGGGGTGTGCCCCCCCCCCCCCCCAATATATTATAATTATGGCCTTGAAAACTATAAACTTTGTTTTACCAGGTAAGGCCCACTGAGCTATATAGCATATTTTTCAGAAGCAACCTGGCTATCACAAATGATGAGTGCTCAACTAAGTGATCTTATTATGTGGAGAACATGCAAACTCCAAATATAAAGATGTCAGTGTCGGGATTGAACCCACAACCTCCGTTATACATGGTGAGGTAGTTAACATCTCGCCACCATGGCGCCCCTCCCCGAAGGCAGTCCCAAGATCAAGGTGATGAAACGGAGGAGAGGCCGAAACAGGAGTGGTTTGGGCAGCGAGTTTTGAAAAAAAAACTTAACTCGATAACGAAATGCAACGTACTGCTGTGGTGGTGCTGAGCAGCAATAGCGGTTGTGGCTGCGCTGCTGCACGTGGCTGCCTAAAGCCCAGCAGCAGCAGCAGCAGCGAGGTGTTGGCGGATCCCCAAAATGTTACAAGAACTCCCTTCACCATGGGGCCCCTTCACCATGGGGCGTCCAAGAAAAGCCATACACCTATCTGGCCAGGTGTATGGTGGTACAGCAGCAAGGTAGATTCCACCGCCATCGCACGCACGGGTTGTCTCCGGGTACTTCCGTTCTTTTCCCACATATAAACGCTCATTATCCACGATAAAGGTATTGTTGGGTTAGATCGCGTAATTATAAATGTGTCGTTAAAACCGCCAGTACCTGACACACCCATTTGGTAAGGTTTGTCACGTTAACAAAACGTGCCAATTCGTTACTAGTTCAGCGGTTGTGTGTTGCAGAGTAAATCCGCTACAACATTTACAATTCGAGTACCGTGACGTTTCGTCGGTAATTACAGCCAGCATCATCAGGTGACAGCCAGAGTTGTGGAGAAATCCTCCTCCTGTTTCGGTCTTAAATTGAGGAGGGGTAAGTGTGATGTCGTCACTTGTGAGCCAATCAGGTGCAAAGACCAGAGGGAGGGAGGGGTTAATGCATTCATATAAATTACAATGGATATCTATTATTGGTTGGGTTATTCACAGGAAATAAAAATAGATAATGTACATGCATAATGTGCATCCCCAATACACATACACTATGCATGCACACCATGCATGCACATCCTGCGATTTTTGGGTGAAAAAATAGCAATTCCTGTTATTGGTATCGCTCGTTAATTAGCCGATAACACCCTTAATATATATGGACGTAAAGAATATATTAACTCCACCGGTTCTGTCCGTATGGGATCGAGCGTTGGCCCCCCTGCACTCGTGGGTTTATTCCACATGCTCTGGTTTTCTCCCCCATGTAAAACTACTAATTCATTGGCTGACAACACCTTAACATCTCACTACGGTTGCTAAGATATGTTAACTACCCACGCCCGGTAAACAGGAGGTCGTGGGTTCGATCCCGATACCTGACAACTGTTGTAAAGATGGAGTTTGCGTGTCTCTCCCTATGGTCGCGTGAATTTTCCTCCGGGTCCTCCAGTTTTTCCCTCCACATTTAGAAACAACGTGTGTCTAGAGTATGTGGCTGTTATACATTCCCACGTGATGATGATAAGTCACACCATTGAGCTATAATTTGTGATGGCCAGGTAGCTTTTGAAAAATAACTATACAGCTCAGTGGGCCTTACCTGGTAAAATTAAAATAAATAAATAAAGCACTCATCATGTTTGTCTGTCGCTCAATATCTACCCATTGCTAACTGTTCATATGCCAATTTAAAAAAAGTTCATCTGGAAATAGTTTTTTTGTTTTCCCCTCGCCCCATGGTGTACAGTGCAGCCTACAACTATTATCCACGAAACGTCACCTATGATTTTATCTTAAGGCCACAGAGTGTTTTATATATATATACAAAACCAATTGTTTAGTTTAAAATAGTTTAGACTTTAGAAAAGTGAGTGGGCTCCCGGGCAAGATGCGTCCTTGCTGGGAGGGACGACAGCCATTGGTCGAGATGAATGACGGGGAGGGGCACCCCAACAGAGGCATCGCGAGAGCGCAGCTACCTTGGAGACGGAGCGTGATAAAGCGAGTGCACGTGCGAGCGAATGCGAGTGAGTGCTTGCGTGCGGGCGTGAGTGGGGAGTGGTGGCACGGTGGACTAGCGCGCCGCGCTACTGACTCAGCGAGCCGAGTTTGATTCCTGATCACAACCAATTACCTTAACCGTTCCTGGGTCTCCCCTAGGACGACTCGGCCTCAAGTAAGCATCTGGTGCGGTTTGCAAACATCGTCACTCGGGAGACAAAGGCGGCTTGCCTGGTACTGGCCACCGACCCACCTCGTGTGCTAACCTTCATAGATGCTGCTCATGAACAGCACTCGCCTCGACAGTCTGTGAAGGCTATCCGGGGGGGGGGATCTTTGTGTGTTTTGTAACCGTGCTCTCTGGTGTCTGTTTCTCGTTGAGCAGCGACGAATCACCCCGAAAAATGTTACAAAGTGATCCATAACTTCAGCTCCACCTCCAGCTCCAATCAGCTCAGCCCCTCCAAGTCAGGTAATGATATTGGTGAGTGTTTTGGTTGATCATTGTATGTGTAGTGCTCAACTTTACGCAGACATTTTCTTCTTTTTGCGTCGTCACTTTTTATTACAAAACTCTTCACATTCCACAACTGAGACTTCAGCACATTCTCCGCTCGCTCGCCGTGCTCCGCTGGCCTCACTCGCTCCGTTCCCTCCCTCTCTCTCTCTGTCTCTCTCTCCCCGACTCTCTTCTTTGCTTCGCCTGTCTTCGCTTCGACTGTCTCGCTCTCTCTCGGCTTCTCCGTCTCACTCCGACTGTCTCTCTCCCTCTCGTCTCCGTCTCACTCCAACTGTCGCTCTCTCTCGGCTTCTCCATCTCACCCCAACTGTCTCTCTCCCTCTCGTCTCCATCTCACTCTAACTGTCACTCTCTCTCGGCTTCTCCGTCTCACTCAGACTGTCTCTCGCTCTCGTCTCCGTCTCACTCCAACTCTCGCTCTTTCTCGACTTCTCCGTCTCACTCAGACTATCTCTCTCCCTCTCTCGTATCTTCTCTGTTCCTGTTCCACTGCTAGCTTATCCTATCTCTCATATCTTCTTCTTCTCCGACTCCACTGCTAACCTATTTTTCTTCTTCTTCTCCCCCACTGTCTCCGTCCAGCTCCCAGCAACAACTCCTCGTCTATCTCTTGCACTCCCGTATTTATCCCCGTTCTCATTAATTACCCATTAATTAACCGGCGTTCCCACCGACGTCCCGCGCCCACGGCGCCCGTCGCCACCTGCTTCCATCTCCAGACTTGCTGGCGCCACCTTGTCCCTGACAACAACAACCGGCCAATCACTGCCCTGCATCCCATAACCACCTAACGAGCCGTCTCTCTCCGGCCATTATCCTTCAGCAACACCTGCTTGCCCTGATGCGACCCCACTGTTCATCAACCCATACGTGTTTCCAATTTCCCCTCTTGGCGCGTGTTAATCCACTACATCACCCCCCCCCCCCCCCCCCCCCCTGTGATAAAGAATTAGCCATCCCGGCTACGCACAAGCAACCGAACGCGCGACCAGTGGACGGGTGAATCTTCAATGGAAAGTCCTTCCTCGAGAGCAGGTTTCAGCAGCTGGTCCATCACCCCTGAATGGGTAGACAGGGGGCAAGTGTGGGGAACGTTCCCTCGTCGACACGGGGCTGCGTTCCGCCCTCGATGCGTGCCCACTCTCGTGACAGCGATCAGCAGCTTGCGTGATCGCATTCCGCTCCCATGTGCCCCGGGGCGGCTCCCGAGGTTGCGGCTGGCCAACCGGCACATTGCCAGAGAGCCTGCCAGAAAGCCTCTCCTGAGTCAATAGCGGCGATCTTGCAGGCACACCGGGGGCAGACTGCTGAGGTGCGTTCACATGCAGCCGTACCACAGGTTCGTTGGACACATCCAATACAGGCCGTTCCGGGATGGGAGATGACGCATCATATGGAGGCACAAATTTCTTAAGATGCGATGGGTGAACATGCCATAGGCGCCGGCTGCAGCAAATTCATACACTCTGGTCCCGACGAATTTCCACAATCTCAACGGGACCCTGCCAGGGTCGATGGAACTTTGGAGATGTGCCCACTGGCACCATAGGGCAGTGCAGCCGAGCCCTGTCCCCCACACGCCAGGGCTCTTGCGGAGACTGTGTGCGTGCAGGCGTTCATTGGCAGCCTGTTGTCTCGCAGTGTTACCCAACGAGACCTCTCTAGCCTCCTTCAGACGGTCTAATGCCACCTGCATGGGGGCAGGTACCACCGTCGACTTCCCCCGCACTCACACGCCCAACCTGACCAGGGCTGGGGCCTCTGGTTTCCAACCGTACATTAAATAGAATGGCGACTACCCCGTTGAGGTGTGCGGGGCCAACCTGTAAGCGGCTAGGGCCGCCGGAACGTATAGGTCCCAATCATTCTGCGCTGAATTAACCTGTTGGCACAACATAGACGTTAGCATCCTATGTAGGCGCTCGACCATCCTGTCGGTTTGCTGGTGGTGCGGGGACGTCCCAATCTCTTTTGTTCCCAGTGAGTCACACACTTCCTTAAGTAGACGGGAGGAAAAATGTTTGCCCTGATTGGTGAGCAGGTGCTCTGGGGCGCCTTTATCAAGGACGTATCCCTGCAGGAAAGCCTCGGCGATCGACCCCGCAGATTGGTCCACCAGTGGCCATGCCATAGGCCACTGAGTGAGGTACTCGACTCCTACTAGTAAATATTTGTGACCCCGCGGGGTGACGGGGAATGGGCCCAAAATATTCAGGGCAACAATTTCGTTAACATGGGAGACTTGTATCGATTGTAACGGTACCCGATATGGTTGCGCAGGTGCCTTCCACCGCGTGCACTCGTGGTAGGACTTAATGAATACCTGAACGTCGTTTTGCATGCCCAGCCAATAAAAATATTTGCACAAGGTCAGCGCGGTTTTCTTCTCCCCCAAATGCATCAGCTTCTCGTGCGTGTCACGAATGAGCTTGCCCCTCAAACACAATGGAATAACGATACAGAATTTTTGCAGTACGACATCCCACCGCACGAGGAGATCGTCGACAAGTCGAAGGAAGGGGCGATCCTCCGACCCTCTAGAGCGGGAGGCCCGAAGCCTCATTCTGGACAAGGAGGAATCGTCCACCTGTAGGCGCGTCCAACGAGCCAGTGACAACCCCAGTAAGCCGGACCCCTCGGCAGGTACCGCATCAGCTCGGACTGAATCGGCTGCGGCGGCCATAGCTGGAACGCCCTGCAGTGGTGGACCGCAATGCAACGAACCCTCAGTAAAACTGCATGAGCCTGACAGCTGAGGCAATCACGATAAAGCATCCGCGTTGACATGACGCGTCCCCTTCTTGTGCTGGACCGTAAAGGAGTATCCCTGCAGGATTTCGAGCCAACGGGCCATCTGGCCCGAGAGCTGGTCAACCCGCAAGGAGTATAGCAGCACCGCATAGTCAGTGCGGACCAAGAAATCCCTGCCTTACAAGTACGGTCGGTACAGCTGAACGAAGTGTACAATGGCCAACAGCTCCCTGCATGTCACACAATATTTCTGCTCTGCCGGGGACAACATGCGGCTGCCGTACGCCACAACCCTTTCAACCCCGTCGATATTTTGCGACAAGACAGCGCCTATGCCAGTGTCACTGGCGTCTGTGTCGAGAATAAACATCTTGGTGAAATCCGGATATCCGAGCGGCGGCGCATCTGATAAAGCGTCCCAAAGCGTCTCAAATGAATGCTGTTGCTTGTCACCCTAGAGGAACTTCTTACCATTGGCGGTCAATGTATGCAGTGACCTCGCAATTGTGGCAAAATCTTTGACAAATCGGTGGTACTACGATGCAAAACCCACGAAGCTACGCACCTCCGACACCATTTTCGGCACTGGCCACGTACGTACACTGCTCGTTTTGTCCAGATCAGTGGCGACTCCTGATGCGCTAATAACGTGGCCCAAATATTTAACAGACGTCCTTAGCAAATGGCACTTTTGGGGCTTAAATTTCAAATTGGCGTCCTGCACCCGTCAAACACAGCACGCAATCGCTGCAAATGCCCGTCAAAATCTTTACTGAAAACAATGACGTCGTCAAGATATATCAAACACGACTCCCACTGCAATCCAGACAATACGAGTTCCATTAGCCGCTGGAAGGTGGCCGGCATGGAGTGTAGCCCAATCGGGAGCACATTAAAATGGAACAATCCCTATGGTGGACGGAAAGCAGTTTTCAGCTTAGATTCTTCGTCCAGGGGCAATTGCCAAAAGCCCATCAAGAGGTCGAGGGTCGAGAAATATTTCCCGCCGGACAGGGCGTCCAATGAGTTATCAATGCGCGTAAGCGGGCACGCATCTGCAACCGAAATTTTATTGAGTTTGCAATACCATCATTGGAACCTCATGTGCCAGTAGAAAATATGATAATTGGTGTTTTACCCTTTTATCTAGCAACAAAACTGACATCTTTTTTACAAGGAGTCATGTTTGCATAGACCACAATACCTGCAGTCGTAATGCAAACAAAAAACATAACTCTGATAATGTATGCACTGTCCTTGAAGTTGATTGCTCCACACCCGAGACAGCTTTCCTTAGAGCCTAGTCTCACATGGTGTTGGACCAAATGACGCCAAAAGGCACACAACTCAAAGACAATGCACCATCAGAGTGTAATATCGTTCACGACTCTTGACACCGGAGTTGGAGGCACACGGGTTTATTTGACACAGCACGTTCGTGGCATACAGCACTGGAGGGGGTATCGGCCCCCTCACCTGACTAGCTAAGGATACACGTCCTAGCTACTCCTAGCCTGCCTCTTAGTCCTCCACTAATGGGCTAGGGGAGGCTATCTGGCCCGACACTGGTAAGTCGGGCCCGGTATCCGGAGTCCCAGACCAGCTCTTACAAGAGCACCGGCTCTGGCTTTCGGGACCACGCCGCTGGCTCAGTCCTGTTCGGCCCTGATAAGGACATCGAACTAGGGGAGTCCAGGGCTCTATCTAAGACGTCTTCAGTCTTCTCTGGTTAGCTTTTAACATAACTCCCGAGCCCTTTGATACATCCCCTTTTATACCCAACCCCTCCCTGAGGGGTGGGGCCCCGGGGGATCATAACGTTCGAACCAGCCCCCCCCAGGGTGCCTGGCTCGGACGTCGTAGAGGGCACCTCCCCGTGCACTTACGTAGCCCCGCCCACTGTGTTTGTTTGCCATAGGCTGCCATGCATAACGGGCTCTCTCTCTAACACCCCTACATCACCCCCCCCCCCGCATAGCTTGCAGCCATCCCGGCTGCCAACATACAAAAAAAAATGACAATAAAAGTGCATTTACCCCCTGACCGCGCGTGTGCCTCACTATTTTTCAACAATAACAAAAACAGCAACAAGAACACAACAAAATGCAACAGCAAGAAGAGAAAACAACCCGACGCACCCCCCCTGAATAAATACGAATTCCGTAAAAAAAAAACAGCCTATATACAATTTGCAGGGAACCCACCACACACAC